GGATAGCATTTTATTGGCATAGCGGGTCTTCAAATATGGAATTTGACCCTCTGGAGAGCCTCTTGCTCAGATAATGGGGGGACATTACGAATACAGTCAGGCCAGACATTACTCAATGAACATCAGTCAACCCAATTGGTCATTATTCACTGCTGATATTTTCTTTTCCAATTATGACAGCTACTTCTTGATTTAGGAATTACAGGTCACGATCGAAGCAGGGGTGGATCCAGGAATTTTTCCTGAGGGGGGTCCGGTCACTCAGACATTTTTAATGTCCGATTGTTGTTTATTGTTACCGATGTTCACGTGATGATCCTTTATAAGATGTCAATTCTTTACTATTTTTTTTTCAATAATTTCTTCTTGTTTATGTCACAGCGGGGGTGTCCCCTATGGATTTGCGCCTGTGCAGTGCGACTCCCTAAGACTGAAATCCATATACTCACAAAAGCGTACAGACCACCTAAAACAAACGGTCTCGATGATTAATTGCCTTCACTGTCATAGCTTGGTGCCGAAGTTCGCTCGGATCTGAGCAAAGAACCGGGGGGGGGTCAGCACTGGGAATGTACAAAGACAATGTTCACAGACAGAACTCCTGAATTCCAACTCTCCTTTCAGATTCAGCATACCTTCCCATTTGAAACAAGTACCCAATTACCTGCAATCGACCAACTGCGGCTCAGCTCAGACTCGGTCGTGTGAGGCCCATCATGAACTATGCATACAAACACGTTTAGTTGACTGAAAAAGGGACACTTCCATTAATTCAATACAGAGAGCTACTGCAAACGGTTTTCATGAAAGACACAGGAATCAATGCCTTCAAGACTAAGCCCATGCCGCGGCATCATTGTCCAAGAGAAGACAGTTTCACTGAAATTTTAAACAAATTTGAATCACACATCAAATGCAGATGAGCCTCAATTTTGAAGTAGTACATCCTAGGAGAAAGGAGCACCCATTTTAGAAGTTGTAGGCCTATACCTTGGAAAAACAATACAGCACTGCTAAGCCAAAGTGAATTAACATTTAATATCAGCACATCGAACGATGTGCACTTTTTGGACTTGTACAAAGCTAACCGATAGTACGCAGATATCTGCTAAGTAGGCCTTATATTAACAGACGATCCGCCGGCGTTTGGGCTGAGTTATACCTTATTGCCTTATTTGCTAAGTAGAAGTTCGTTATCACCACAAAATGATTTCTTAGATATGTTGGAATAACATTTAACATTTTGATCTGTCGAGTTGGCCTGTACATAATGAACAAGAATTATCACCTTAATAATGAACCCTTCCCCTAAAACAGTGCCTACTGTTCTTCCTCAGCACTGGAAGTATCAACTTCAGCGGCATCCGGCATGCAGCGGCCGAGCACACCAAGACAGCGGGAAATACAGTCCCTCTTGACGGTACGAGTTTGCCCCCCATCACCGGGGCCGCGGCACTTGAGCATCCCGGCGTTTGCAAGTGGCTGCCAGCGTCTCTCTCCGTCTCGGAAGTAGTCCAAGATGGCGTAAAGCTACTCGGCGCGCTAGCACTTGACCCACCGAGAGGCCAAAACGAATGCATAATTCTATTTCTTCTCTTTCTCTCTCTCCGTTAGCTTCAAACCCTTAGCCGATCCATTGAAAACGCACTGCACCTATTCCCGGGAAGATTTTTGTATTGGCGATAACATAGGCCTAAGTGTGCAGGCTGCACAGGACGGATTAATGTATTCGGGCACATGGCGCATGCGTTGTGCCATGAATGAATTATCACCTGAACATGTTATTGCTGGTACATGTACATTGCGAACGCAGAAATACCTTCTAATGATAGGTGAAATCAAATGCGGTGGGCATTACATGTGTATAGAAAAACAGTTGACTTAGAGAGATACATTGCTGTTTTGTGCAGTTTTGATCATTAGTGTGAGCTTACTTGGCATGAAAGCATTACATCCCTCACAAGGTGGTGACAAAGAAACTTCTAAATGTTTTGAATCGCCGCGAAAACGACGTTGTCTCGTCAGCCAAAATGAACGAATCTGCCGAGAGATTGGAATACCATGCAGCAACCAAAATATTCTGGCATCGTTGGCGATCATTGATAAATTGACAGTTTTCACTACAAGAGCTTTCGCACTCTGCTTCACGACGTATATTAGTCTTTCTGCTGGGCAAAAATGCTTTTAAAAATCCATTAGGTGTGAAACTGTTCCTCAGAATTAGATTATCGCAACAAAAGTACCTTGACTTCTCAACCACGCTAACCTGCATACCTGCTTAATCGTTGGATATGTGCTTATTTTCCAACATTATCTAACAACCCATTAGGGTGTAAAAACATGGTACTGCATATGCTGTTCAGTTCACTACGGATAATTAGACTCCAAAGCAATACAGACTCGAGTGCAGACAAATATTTTCTTTACTAACTTCAGACAGTGCGTGATATCGATTTGAAATGGAACCTTCACAAGACGTCGACCCTCGGTATAGAGTATTTATGAAAAAAAGAAAAAAAAACTTTTACAACTGTCTGTAAACGAGTCAGTCTTTAAGACAGCAATTCATGACTTAAGCTTATTGCACTATTATGTCGCAGAATTTCCAGCGTTTTTAAGAAGACTTTCCTGCCAAACAGGTCTTTAGAAAGGATGCCTCATACCTGTGTTTAAAGGACATTGCGCAAGTGGATCAACATCAAGAGGGGGTATGCAAATAACGGCGTGATCTCCAACAACTCCGCAAACCTACGCAGTTGACGTTAATCGGACACCTTTAATTGGCCGATTACAATTGGCTGGTGCGATAACGAACCCTTCCCCTGGGAGCTGTTTTGCCTCAGCCGCCCGGTTGAGCCGACAACGGCTGCATAATTAAATTCACCTTAATTTCGCTTGCGATCACAGTCAACTCGGCGTGTTCTCGGCATTAAATCAGGCATCATTTTGGTTTTCTTTGTATAATGCACAAAGTATAAACCTACACGCATGGATTGCAAGTTTGATCAAGACGCTTTTGATCAAGTTATTTTCACTTAAATAAATCAGTTTACATTATTTCCAGGCAAGCATTCAAGTTATTATTCTCGAAACAAAGACTGGCTTTAAAATATGTTATTTTCACAAAACTGTAGAAGCACACGGTCAGATTTTATTTAATAAAGACCGAATTAAATATGTCAAATGTGGCCAGCAGGAAGATAACCGCAAGATGTGTAGAATTGAAATGCTGCGATTTATGCCTGCGTTCTTGAAATGAAATGATATTTAAGCGTTATTGTCTTATTCTATATTTTTACATTCATCTGCCGAGACACAAAGCATAAGCCTAAACTACAAACTCAAAATAGTTATTTCCATTCTTAGCCTGCAGAGAAAGAAAAACACTGATCAGCTCGAATATCAGGTCGATGGAACCTTGAATTTGTTTCTGCTAAATGCGGAGGATGATTGTGCACGTCGCTGTTTTAATAGATTTAGCGGTTGGTCAACTTTAAAGTTCTATTTTGTTTTTGGAGCACGAATGTTCGGATTCAGGTTTCGTAAAGCCAGGGCAAACAGCTCGAGATCTCGCCGAATACCGCGAGAAATCGGAGCCGTGGCAAAATATTGACAAGGGGCTGGCGTGTCGATTGCGCGCCGAATCTCTGTCAAGATCGCTTTTCAGATTAAACAGAGCAGGTTTTTAATGAAATCTGTTCAGGTTGCCTGCCAACAGGGTCACATGACGAGCGAGGGATGGTAATTTTCCCTGTCATTCGAGGAATAGTAGAGTAAGTACAGCAAGCACTAAAACCCTTTTGAATTATTTTGTAGTTAGTTTTAAGAGAAAAATATTACATAAATGTATCATTTGAAATGTCTGTAGATTTCACTCACGCACTCATCTTTCAATAGATTATAAGGAAAATCAATTTGGATACGTTGAGGTACGGTTGTTACACATGTCTTATTTTTGCAATCTTTGGGGTCATACCAATTGAGTACAATTCAGTGTGAGACAAAAATACAAATTTGTAATTTAACAAAACACTTGTAGAGGTAACTTGATTCTTTACGGATCCAATGCTGTCTCAGGCCCAAAGTACTCAGTCCGTGCTGGATGTACGTCAACGATAAACTATGTAGTAATTAGAAATCTGGAGTTACTGCTACAATTATTTAAAAAAAGGTATTTGCTCAAGGAAATATTGTGATAGATTTAAACTCACCTGACCGATATTTTGTGGATGCTTTCAAATTGTATCCAGCAGAATTAGTGCTTAAAAAGGTCTAGGCATGCGTGAAGCCATGCTTTGTCAGGGTGACTTTTAAAATCACCATCACAACGGCAATAAAAATAAGAAAAAAGTTCTTTTCAAAATAATCCCCCTTTGCTTTTGCAATGAGAAAATACTGCTTGCGGTGAATAAATTACATTACGAGCCGGGATAAAAAGTATGTGATGATTGTCTGGCATACAGCTGGAATCGCTGTTTGTCGTTTGAGGGTGGGATTCTAGTCACCAAAGCTATTCCATTTTGTGAGGAATTGTGTCAGATTTAAATTTCATAGAATTTGGGTATAGTGCAAAACTAACTTCTGGCGACAGCAAACGGGTTTATGACTGCATTTCCCGACGAGCATTATTTCTCTCCAATTTAAGATTAATAAAGAACATACACGAAATGAAAAACAGTTTTTTGACCATTTAAATGGCGATGTAAAAATAATCAACGTGCGGTTGAGTTACTGGAAGAAAAGGGTGATTTTAAAGATAAGACCTCTCCACTTTGAAAGCATCGTTACACAGGCATCTTTCGTTTTTTAGTATTCTGGTTACAGCTAGTGTTGTTACACACCGCGAATAATTCCACCCGAAAAATTGTCAAAACAAGAGGTAATTAAGTCACTACATAATGTTTACAATATTACAGCATTGTGGCATAATCTTCGACATCCTCAGGAGGTGTATTTCAGAAGTACGATTAAGAGCGATTAAAAGAAGAAAGGTTGCTTACCTTTGGAGGACGATACAGGCACGGACGAGGCCCAGCTGTTTTGTCTTCCTCGCACCAGCGACTCCGCGCACGATGGCTCTGCAACAAACACCAGGGAAAAATAACAGATTTAGTTGCCATCCTTCTGATAATCGCGGTCCGTGTTTGAGGAGATCAGCGGGCGATCACACGGCGGCCGAGACGGTCCGAGGGCCCAAAGAATCTCAGCGGGGAGAAAAACTCTCCACCGCCGAAGGTAAGTCCACACGGAGAAGAAATGACGATCGCCCCGTCTCGCGCACCGCTCGCCGCGCGCGCCGACTACGCCGCAGCGGTAAATAAATGAGCGGGCAAGAGGGGAACCCTTCACATGCGTGGAGATGTGAACATCCTTCCTTCCTTCCTTCCTTCCTGCAATACCGACTATCTCGCTCAGCGGTAAGTGGCGCGGGGGGTTTCTCCGGCTAAAAATAACGTCCAGACCATTTCTCGCAGAGCTTCTTCTCGATCGAGGTTTTGTTGTTGTTGTTGTTTTTTTTTATTATTTTGAAAGGCCTAGATTTCAAGGATGAGAACCTTTTCTTTGTTTTCTGCACTAACGAAATGTGTGTGATTTTTTTTACCCGTAAGAAACATCTGATGGGCGGGCGTGTCGTAGTGATGGGAGTAAGAATGATGCACCGGCGACCAATGTTTCCCGCCGATTTTGTCCGCCACCGCAGCGAATTTCTCCCGCCGGAGATCCACTCTTGCCGCCTCGATCCCCGCAATAACTTCCAAAGATCCGGACTTTGGGCCGGAACGCATGTGCTCTCTTGGAAACCCGGGACGATCCTCCAAAGCATGCACGAGGTTTGGGATTTGAAGAGGAAGTGTGTAGAGAAAGGGGGCGAGGAGGGGAAAAAAAGGGCGAAAGGGCGCCAGAAGTTGGAAGTGAATTCTCTGTGGTACGCGTATACACTGGCACAGTGTCAGCTCGGAATATAAGGAGCAGACGACATCGGAGTTTGCAGTATGGAGAAGGATGCACGCACCACGGCAACCACCCAGATCACTGCTCGACAGTGATTTATCAAATATTGTGGCCCGGATTCATTGTTAGTGATTTGTTTTTACGGTGGGCCAACCAATACACGTTTTTTGGTACGGCTCTTTCAGTCATAAGTGAGGGAGGGGGGCGTTAGAGGCTGTACAGGTTGAGCCAGAGTCGAAGGAGCCAGTGATGTGACCAGTCCCTGTGGGCCCAGTGGCTTAGCAACGGGAACCTAGCGCTTATTGGCTTGCTGGCTCTAATGGCTGCTCTCCAGCCCGCGCGCATACAACCGCATGAATAGAGATGAGCCGGCCCCAGCCAATCAAGTGGCGCTACGGCGGGCAATGAAACAGCGGGTAGAGGGGAGAAGAGGTGGAGGTCCAGGGGGGGGGATTGCAAGGGAGGACACTGGAGACAGGGGATACCCCCCCCTCTCCCTCTCCCTCTGCAACCGCCTGCGTGCTCCAGGAATGCATTAGCAAACCCAAGGCCCGCACCTCAATCATGAGACAGCGATCTTGTCCGGCCGCGTGCACGAGGTCTTTTCACCCGTGGTCTCTTGTGATGTAAATCAACCTGCCTCGTGTGTCTTCATTCTGCCGAAATGTGGTGGTCAAAAGGGGCTCTTCGGTTTCTTTTCTCTCAGATTTCTGTTATTATTATTAGCATTTTTCGGTTTGCAGTTTCCACCTCCTTTACAATGATAACGAGAAGTGGGCGTTGCGCGCACAGTCGCCGTGGTCAGCTCGCCCTCACCGGCACTGGTTTCTTCTCTTCCCCTTGGTCCGGTGGTCCGATTGGCGTTCAGGCGAGCGTGAGGGAATCTCGGGGGGCCTTGTAGTCGAGGTCATTTTACGGCACGTGCGGCAGGCACTGGAGAGGCAAGCCGAGTCACAAAAGGAAAAACAGAAAAAAAACAAGGAAATACCAAATGATCAATCAATCAATAAGTAAAAATAACAGTGATGACATCTTGAGCCTTTCATTATGATAACCTTCACTGGAGTCGACCCTGAATCTCGTAGCTGAATGAGTTGGTTGCCGTGGATTAAGCTGCGCATACTCTTGAGGGCGCATACGTATTGGCGCATTATGTTCTCCATGCTAATGCCAACGTTTGAAATGTCAGCCATATAACAAAAATTACAAAAGACCAAATGTATTTTAACAAACCTTTTTTTTGGGGGGGGGCTGATGCTTAAATGATTGAAACTGCATCCCTATTAACAATCCCTGAAAGCATAATGATAAACCTGAAATAAGACAACGGCGATTTTAATAAAGCTGACAAAAAAGGCAGCCGTATAAAATTTGCAATATTCAAAAGAGAAATATCATAGGATTAATCGGTACAGCCCTGATATCGAAGAGAACGATTACAAAATGCCCAGTTCAGCTTTCACATGTTTATTTTCTTTCCTGTTTGTATGTTTTATTTATTGTTTTGTTTTCACATCTGTGGTAACCATGGTAAATTGAACACGACAACTTACTTGTACACGTGTGGTTCTTAAGGAACGAGAAAATAACAGAACTGGAAGAGACCTGAATTTCTGTAATTGTCGTTTGGTCCAAGAGCACTTGACATTGATGCTGATACCTTTGAGGCACCGATATAAAAGAGCTGTCAGCGAAGGCAAACGACAGCTGAATATGCCAGCCAATGAAAGATTCACAGACAAAGACGAAAACGAAAAGTAAAAACTCGATGGGACACGACACGACACGAGCACGCCCACAGGTGCAATCCACCTGGTGGCCTAAGCCAGAACAATGGCACAACTCCAGGTGATGACACGAATCTGGACAAACAAAGGGCATCCTCTTTGGAAGGCATACCCAGGTGCCACATCGGGGCTGGCACGGTGGTTCTTAATATTTTGCCTAAGGTAAGTACAAAAGAAGAAGAATAACTCCGCAGTCTGATGAATGGATCCCCGTCCCCTGCAGATATAAAATTGGCAGATTTCCTTCAAAAAGAATGTCAGTTATGTGAGTCTCTTTTCCGACGAGTGTCATATTATGCGTTCAATCAAAGCAACTTTTATTTCATTGACGTCTGCAAACACCACAAGACTGCCAGATGAGCTGTTTCATCAAGAGCTATCGTGGACTGTCACCCACAGGGATTCTTCAAAGCAGAAGAAGTGTCAAAGCCCAAGTTCTCTTCTGTCATGAATGATATCGCTGCCAAAAGAAGCGCCACCGCGTCTAAAACAGTACATATACATCAAAATTGAAGGAAAATTTGATTATTCTTTCAAAATATAGTTTTGTGGGGTGGAAATGTTCGGCTGTGCACCATTCGTCCTACTGATGCATCTCGAACCCAGTCCGCACGTTCATTTCTGGCCGATGCTGTAAAGGTCCTGCAAGAATTCTCGCTAGTGAAAGCTCAGATATCCTTTTTCTGTCGTTTCGGCTCTCGGGTTTCAATATTGGGGCTGCGAAACAATCGTCCCAACCCATTCAGTTGGGAACGCATCCGCCTGCGCTATATTAGGGCAACGTCTAAGTCACTTTCAAGTGTGTGGAAAACTGCCGCCGAAGAATAGAATGAGCGATCGTGGCCAGCCTTGTCATGCCCTATTTAGAATCAATTAGCCAGCTTACAAATACAGGTAGAGGAGTTTTCCTTGGATTATCGCTGAGTTCCCATGTGGATAATGCCCTTGTAGGTTATTGTTGGCAGTGTATATTTTCTGAAAAATTGTATTTAGGCCTATACGCTGACACATCGGTAGAAGGGAATTCCGTGTATGAAATGTTCTGAAATAAAGGCCAACACTGCAAGTAGACGTTAGAAGTGACAAAAATAACTGATAAAAGGAGAAAACAAAAAAGAAGCAATCTATTTCCGCAGATTTTTTTCTCGCATTTTAAATTAACTTGGATCTTTTGGGGGGTTGTTTCCTATCTGACGTAGAAACAACAGCTACTAACAAGTTCAGAGGTCATGGTACAGTGCCAGTGTGATGAAGATAACATAGAAGACATTATGCCTGTTGGTGTCCACCCTGAAAACAATTCAAAACGCTGCAGAGAAGTTGAAAAATGTACAATGTGGCAAGCCTGCGGGTTTAATCTTCGCGACAGTAGTGCACAAGACTCAGGAAAACAATGGAAAAATGCATATGCCCGAATAACCGTCATTTTTTATACCTTGAATACGAAAGTCGCCATGTACTTCCCCTATATTTTGGTAGCACCATAAACTCAGACCTGGGGGCACAGGCATACAACAAGATCCGACTGTAATTGTTTTTCCGTCTTTCCCCCGTGCATTTATTTTGCAGAGCAGCGCATAAATCCTGGCTTTTATGACGCTAAGCGCTCAGCGGTGCGCAGTTAATGATGCTCCATCATCCATCACACACAAGAAACCCTCGCTGAGAAGTCCTGCAGTCTACAACCCGAAGTCTTATCTATAAAAGGAAGACTTTTTCCCCTGCCACGTATTTTTCAACCTCTCTTCCTCTGCCTACTTTGCCTCCACTTCTTCACCCGTTTTCAGTTTAGTTGGAAACGTGAGTCGCACGCTAAATATTCAACGAAGGGAGACAGAGAATGTCTTGATAACTCGGTTGACCGTGCGCCGGGGCCGACGTGGGATACCCGCGGGTGATCCAGCGCGCGTGGTGAGGACTTAATAACGCGCTCCATCGTTGTGATTTCTCGCTTGGAGTGTGCCTCGTTGCCCTGGGATCTTCGGCAGACACAGGCTCGGCCAGCGCAGTTATACGGAGATGAAAAGCGTTTGACTTTTCTTGTAGATTTTTCCCCCCGTCACTCTCCGGGTTGAATTAATAATAATAAAAAAAGGTGAGTTGTGATGGATCACTGCAGGGGAGATCAGTTGAAACACAATCGGTGGGCATACACACGAGCTCGTCGGTTGTCGTGTAAGTGGCTGAGTCCATGGACGCTAGCGAATATTCATGTGAAAAAAAAAATGAGTATACACTGTACTGGTCTCCGTGAAAACGGGAAACAAACAAAGGTACGAGCACCGACAGAGAAAATGAAAAGTTTGGGCAGACAATGGAGACAATTTTGGCGTAACAGC